TAACTCACATTAGCACAAGCACTTCTCACTTTTGCACATGCACATCTCACATTCACATCAGCACAAGCACATCTCACATTAGCACAAGCACATCTCACTTTATCACAAGCACATCTCACTTTAGCACAAGCACATCTCACATTAGCACAAGCTTAACTCACATTAGCACAAACACATCTCACATTCACATCAGTACAAGCACATCTCACATTGGCACAAGCACATCTCACATTAGCACAAGCACATCTCACGTCAGCACAAGCACAGCTGTGCGTCTGATTGCGTACCACGGGCTGTTCACATCTGTTGACCCTGAGCAATGCACCACTCCCACATGCCCAAGAGTAGACGGGTGAGAGCGGGTTTAATCATCAGTACATACATTGTTATGTATATACTCTTAGTACCGAACTTGTTAACATCTGTTGACCTTGACCAATGCACCACTCCCACATGCCCAAGAGCAGACGGGTGACAGCGGGTCTATTCATCAGTACATACATTGTCAAGTATATACTCTTAGTACCGATCTTGTTAATATCTGTTGACCTTGACCAATGCACCACTCCCACATGCCCAAGAGCAGACGGGTGACAGCGGGTGTATTCATCAGTACATGTATTGTTATGTATATACTCTTAGTACCGAACTACGTATCATACCTACAGTCGCGATGTTGGCCCTATTGAATGCCCACCAATTCATATACATTGCCGTAAGTTACAGATCCGAGACCCGCGCATGCCCAAGAGCAGACGGGTGACAGCGGTACCATTTGTGGGCAAGGACGTTCCCAGTACAAAGTCCGAGTTCTCCCATCCCGACGTTTTGATTGGCTTAACAGCGCTGAGCTACCGATATCAAGGACTGCGGAAGAGCGATTTCAAGACGCTCATAAAGTATGTGTGCGAGTGGAAGTTAACGTACGCATAAACGTATTGGTATACGCATGCTGTGCATACGCCCACACAGGTTGGGCACAGGCGGCTGTGCACGTGTGGATGGAATCCTGGGGCTGCTTCTGAGACATAGGGTTTTTAGGGTTTAGGGTTTTAAATCGGAGTCCCCATACACAGCTGTGTGTTAAAGAGCACTACAGGACACGACGTGATACTACAGGTTTTAGGGTTGAGATTAGATACCACATGCACACTCTAAGATACGATAGCACATGCACACTGAGTGTTGTTCCGAGACCTCCATGGCAAAGTGCATATAACGCTAGGCTCACGGCACAGCCGCGATAGTACATGACTGTGGAGCAACTTCGCTTGTATGCTTGTAGGTAACGGAAAGCAAGCATGCATACTCTGCTAGGATATGTGTATCTGTGTATATAGGAAGACATGAGCTGAGATGAGCACCTTATGGACTATGTACGACAAGTTCAGGGACTGTGAGAATATATATATACATACACTGAAGGGTTTCATGAAGTTTAATGGCACGGCACGCACACGCACTTATGTTGCACAGAGATAGACCTGCGCTGATATATATATATATATATATATATATGCACGTATGTATGTATGTATGTATGTATATAGCTATGCCCATTCACTGGCATCCACTGACATCCACCGACATGAATGATATGCCAATTGTGCACATCTCACAGAGCTATGCAGGACGAGTTTTGGGATGAGGGAGGGCCATTTGCCAAACGTCCGTCGGCTGTGATGTATGCGGAGTGGGTGGTCAAGGCCGGGTGTCGCGTGCGTGGCTCGCTTCTGGGTAGGTCTGACTCATCGAGTTTGTTCTATTTATAGCAGATCGTGTTCTGTTTATAACAGTGGTGTCCTATTTATAGCATTGGTGTTCTATTTATAACAGTGGTGTTCTGTTTATAACATTGGTGTTCTATTTATAGCAGTGGTGTTCTGTTTATAGCAGATGGTGTTCTGTTAATAGCAGTGGTGTTCTGTCTATAGCAGTGGTGCTCTGTTTATAGCAGATGGTGTTCTGTTTATAGCAGATGGTGTTCTGTTTATAGCAGC